TCAAGGTGTCCAAGCTTTGAGAGGGGTATCCGGAAACCCAAACATCCTTCCCCTTAATTCTGGTGGGAGACTCATAAGGCAGCAAATCACTTGAGATTCTTGCATTGCATATATCATAAAAATGCACCATAAAAAATGACATCAGTTCAATATAAAATCTCGAACACCAAGCGAGTGCGGTTGGTTTACATTTTAGATAATTTAATGGAAATTTTTGCTCAAGGAATGTATGGAAATTATCACGTACGTGATTCTTTGAAGCTTTCTCAGTGGAAGTTGGTAGTTAGTACTACCGTGAAAAGTGAAATGAGTTTCTAAGGTTTTGACCTTTAGTTCCAAGATGGCGCCTATAACGATACCGGTTTAAATAAAAAAGGAAATCTGTTGTTTTAAGATTGCTATAAAAAGTTTTATTTTTAAGGACTTTATGCGCTATAACCAACGATATTAGGTATATCCGGACAAAGTATACCTACCTTCCGAATGAAAGGTATATTGGCTTAAGGGTTCGAACAATCACTTCAATTTATATAGGTATGCTGCCCTGTTTTTGTTGACTTGTTGGAAAATTCCTTCCTTCGGATCTCTGGCTCCTTCGGGATATAGGAGCCAGGAGTGTGTGGTGTTTCTACTAAAAACCACCCCAACGGCCCGACTCAGGCGCCCTACTCCTAGGAGGACCCAGACCATGTTATTTCAGCCTCCCCCCGGATCGACGCCGCGCCCAGTAAAGCCCTATCCCGGGTAAATAGGTATGCTACCCTGAGCTGCTTGAACCAAAGCATATAATATTTATAAGAATAATCTTCTATTAAAATGCAACGGTTAGTATGTAGTTAAAAACTGATACTCCAATTTTGTTTGGTTACAAATATTATCATAACAACAGCTGAATAATAAAAATATATGAAAAATAATGGCTATGATTCATAACAAGAGATATAACAAAATAATAACGTAGTTTCTTCAGAGAGCTTCGAATTTATTTAAAATTTCCTTTAGATGTATTCAATGTTATGCGTCGCGACGTTAAGGGTGGAAACAAAGAAAAAACCCCTAAAACATTTATAGAATCCCGGGGTGATATTCAATTTGATATTCCAACTGTTGTTTCTTTTGTGAATCTGACTCGAATCGTCAAGTGGATCTTGGAGGCTCGAGTGGTTTAAAAAAGCTTGATAAACAATGTTGTAGATAAAAAAAATGGTAGGTTTTTTTTTATTTTTGTCTTTCTTTTACTCCAATAACAGATATTCAGAAGCCGTAATTTAATAAGTTAGAAGAATAGAAAGAATTGAAGACAAACAATCGTTACGAATAGTTTTTTTTTAAATTCCGACAACAGTATTTTTACAGAACTTTGAAGTCGCCTAGTACTTGGGTTGTGGAGTTTTGACGCTAGTCGCTCCACGTAAAAAATGGAAGTTAAGCCACGACGCGGCTAGGAGAGAAATAATTAAATAGGCTTGTGTCCACTTATTACAAATTGCTTGGTTTATAGTTTCAAATTATGAATGAAGAGACATAGATAAGAAAAAAAACCAGTCTATTACTCATAAAAGATAAAGATTATTAATATTTTTTTAAAATATATTCGAACAAAATAGGCATTAAGTCACGTGACAGCGAACACCAATAAGAAAGTGTTACGTCACGCCACGCAAAACATCATTGTTGTTGTTGACGTTGTCATACTACACAGCAGGTTACTCCTTATTGTTTTTCGTTTTTAGCATATTTTCACACCTTAAAACAGTTTTCGCAGACTGTGACGTCATTCAAGACGCCATGACACTATTCAGCGTTTTCAAGGGAAATTGAAATTGTTTTTTTTAATACAAATTACGTAATCTAAATATTGCTTTTTCTTTAAAATATAGGTTTTGTGGGATAAAATAGATATTAAATATATATTTAACCAAGTTTTCAAATTGAGTCAACTAGCCAATTCGAACCTTAACCTGAAAGTATGAGGTCCGCAGGAGAAAAATGCAAGAGCTTAGTTATATGTTGACATGAAGTATAGAGGCAAGGAGTGTTTGAAAAGTGACGTTTTTTATGGGGTTTTGAAATTAGAATTGACTAATCAAGTTTTGTTTTTCCTATTAGTTTAAGCGGCGTGAGTTTTCCCTAATATTCCAGCCAACTTTTATATAAACTGATCTAGATTTAGCTCTCCAATCTTTAATTTTTAAGATTCCATTTTTAAATAACGTGTTCAATAACAGTTTTTTTTAAATAGGCTCCAATAGTTCACGATCAGGCCTATTTGTAGTTTTTTTCTAAATCACAAATAATAACTTGAATATTTTTATATAAGATCACATAATGTAACTATATCAAAACTAAGTAAAACATATACCAGTTACAATCGAAAAGATAAATCTCTGTAAGTCCTGTCATAATCGAGCTAAGATTGATCGTCCCTTTGGACATGTACGGAGAATACCATAGTCAAGACTGATATGAAAAAAGTTAGCTAAACTAATATTTGCGCAATATATAATAATGCGGTAAAGTGTTATGGGGAAACAAGGGGAATAAAATCCATTTTGGAAAATATCCCTTGTTTTTGATGATGCTTTGAAGTTCTTAAGAAATAATTTTGTAATAATGTGATTCTCTCTTCGACATGGTTAAGAATTGTAACAAAAAAACAAAACATTTTGATTTGATATTGCTTAAAGTTGACTGCACGGATGGCGTAGTGGTCTAAACGGTCGCCACGCCGCTTCTCACTGCGCCGAGTGTTGTGGGTTCAACCCCACATGGGACGACATTTTGTGTGATCCACAAATTGCTGTTCTGAGTCTGGGTGTACTTTGTGTCCGTTTTATGTACGTTTGTAAAGACCCCGCGAAACAGGATTAATTGCTAGTGCGGGAGTTGTCTTTAAAAAAAAAAAGTTTGTAGTGCAATGTAATTTAATCTTTTGGATTTCGAACTGCGGCGTCCAAACTGTGTTTCGTCATTTCAGTATTACACCGTATAGTTTCAGTAGGTAATGGTTCTTCCACGTCAGATATTCGCAAACAATAAAAGCTTGGGATGGAAGTTGGATACTTCTGCACCACTAAGTCACGAGACCATAATAGGCTAAGTGTCAACCTATAACGGTATAGTAAACACGGTATAGTTGACAGTTAACATTATAATAACTTATATCAACATTAAATTAAAAAAAGAAAAACAAAAGAGCTGATCCCTTCCAAGAAATTTGATTTTTTGAACATTTTCATTAAATGTTTACGATTACACCAATTCTATTTGTGCAAAAACATTCTCTAATATTACAATTGTTCACGAGTTTTTCAACTTTATATACAAAACATAAAGTGTTGAGGTTACCGGAGCCCAAATCCCTCCTCCCTCTGACTCGAGCGGGGGGGACTCCAAGGACATCGTTAATATTTTGGCATATGTACCGCGTAATCATACATATGCATTTAGTAAAAAGCGGTTATTTTGACATTACAAACAGACACTCCAATTTTATTTATTTGTATAGATGCGGGAGTTGTCTTTTTAAAAGAGAGAAAGAGAAAAAAGAAATATATTGTAGGAGGCAACTAAAGGCAGCACTTTATTATCACGTGTTTCGAGTATGTTGTAAAATCCGATTATGTGATTTCATTCATGAGTTGGCAACACCGCAATTGTTTACCATAAGTACCTCCACATTTTAGAGAGTTGTGCGGTTTCGTTGTGTTACAATCGGAATTAAGTCTTAGTAGCGATAAGGGTTAGAACAAAGCCCTTCTGTTACGGCAGCAAGTGTTACAGACTCTTGGGTCTTGGCCAATGTTAGAAAAAAAAAACAAACTAAACTTTTTTTTTATGGTATAAGGGGGCAAACAAGCAGGCAGGTCACCTGATGGTAAGCAACTACCTCCGCCCATTGACACCTGCACCCAAAATTCACAAGTGCGTTGTGATTTATACATATATTATATTATTAATATATTAAAAAGTAATTATTTAAAAACTAGGTCGGGACAATGTGGAAAAAACAATCTAGCCCGTTTACCGCCGAGGATTGAAGCCTGCCTGTATTTCAAAATACATCTAATTAAATTTCAACCTAATTACGTCACATGCTGCATAATATGTAAAGTGTGTTTTGCTACCCCAAAGGTCCCCAAGTAAATAGAATTCGACGTCTTGTTGAAACGTCTTTCTCCGGTAACTGAATATGAAAACATAAGGGAAAGTTTTGTGTTTTGACACGTTACCTTATGTATCTATTACTCCATTTCACTTTTCCAATTCATCATAATATGTATGACTAGCTGAGACCCGCGGTGTTACCCGCGTTTGTTGTTATAACCGCGGGCAACGCCGCGGGGCGAAGCTAGTCTAAAAAAAGTAGCCTAAGTTACTCCTTATGTCATCAGCTATCTGCCAGTAAAAGTCCCGTCGAAATCGGTCCAGCCGTTCCAGAGATTACCCGGAACAAACAGACAGACAGACAGAAAGACAAAAATTGTAAAAAATGTTATTTAAGCATATGTACCGTGTAAACATACATATGCATTTAGTAAAAAGCGGTTATTTTAATATTACAAACAGACACTTCAATTTCATTTATTTGTATAGATACATACATACTTCCGTCCGTGTGGTGACGGATTAAGAATACAAATTGTCACCACCCCAATTCATCCCGTGGGTGTCGTAAGAGCCGACTAAGGGAGCAAACTAAGCAGGACAACAGCACTGCAAAGAGAAGGAAAACTTGAAACAAACCCTATACCAACCCGTCTGGCCAGCGTGGTATAGTAGGCCAAAACCTCCTTTCTAAGGAGAGGCCTCCTTTCTATGTCTAGCAGTGGACTAGTATGGGCTGCTGGTGATGTGATGTGATACTTCACAATAATTTGTCAATCAGCAGTCACCATGCTGTCATTAGACCAACAGATCAGTAGACTCCGAGTCTAATCAATCTCGCTCATATTATTTCAGCGTTCCCGTAGCTTTTAAGTGTCTGTATATTTGCCAACATGTGCCAGGGGATTCTGGGTGCAATGTCAGCAAGAGATTTAGGTAAATTGACACGAGCGGGGAACTTATTGTATATTGTGAGGGCGGAACATGTCTCGTATGCAAAACGTAATAATCAACAGTTATATGGTATAGGACGCTCAGAAAATGTGTGAGGAATAAGGCATTCTGTGTTTTGATGGGAGGCGACTTGGAGGGGAGCTGAGGGAGTACGTACGTCACCCAGGTTCGCCAGTGGTAGGAAAGACTAATATCTAGTCTCTCCAGTAAGAGACTCTTCTTACTGATCTATTGTCAAGAAGACTGTGAAGATTGTGTGACAATTGAAAATAAATAAAAAATATTTTTTTCATACATGTTTCTTTTTTTTATATTCTTTTTTTTCATAGGTTGATTCCCAAAAAAATCAGCGTTAAAAAAATCCACTGTATTATTATACAAAAAAGTGAGCGGGAATGAAATAAAAAATTTAAAAGTAAAAAATAAGATTCTTAATTTAAAATGGCGAACCATTATTATAACCACTCGACAATGTATCTACGAATATCACACCAATCACTTATTCGACAACGACCTAAATTCCCGCCGTGCTAATGACAGAAGGTTAGTCACGATATAAAAATAAAATCGTTCTGTCGACATACAAATCTATTGCAAGTTTGATTTGAAAGGTCGTATATAGCTTAGATCTCACAAAAAATAACAAAAACTATATATTTCATTAAATTAAACCACCTTCTCCTTCCGAGCCTTTTCCCAAACGAGGTTGGGGTCGATTTTAAGTCTACTACGATTGGGCTGACTTTTTACGAGGAGAGACTCATCAGACCTCCACAACTCAAGTACTAGTTGATATATATATAATGCCAGCCTGTTCGTCTATTGGTTAGTGACCCTGACTGCTAAGCCGTAGGTCGTGGGTTCGATTCCCACTCAGGACAAATAATTGTCCTATAAATACGATCATTTGTTCTGTGTCTGGGTGTAATTTATCTATAATATGTATGTATTTAATCATATATAAGTATGTTTATCAGCAGTCTGGTTACCATAGGACAGGCTCTGCCTAGTTTGAGATCAGACGGCCGTGTGTGAGATGTGTGAGGTTATTATTATTATCATCGAAGTTCTGTAGAAACAATGTTGTCTGACTTTTTAGGTTTCCAACTGCCCGTAACGATTGCCATAGATGTTAACTAAACCACATAACATGGATTATACGTGTTTACATGGCTCTACAACAAACCCGGACTATAATATTGCTCTAAACTTCTTTGCTGAAAACCCGCAAATTGGGAATTGGTTAGATGCTACAACTATATTAAAATAAAATAAAACATAATTAAAAGATTTTAGGAAATTTATGTTTATATATTTAGTGCTGATTTGAGATATTAAATTAATGTAAATAGCTATTATTACAAGTCAACAATCTAGTATTAAAATAATTTACAGAACAATACGAAGGCACATCGTACGAAAAGAGACAAAGATAAGCGGTGACAAGTCTCGTGACGTTAATACGTGTGATATAACAATAGAGATACATATATCTACTGATATATTAGTAGATATATTTATCTCTATTGTTTTAATGTACATGTGAGGTGTCAGGAATCTCCGCGAATCGACCGTTTAATGGAGGCAGTCCACTCTGTTAGTGACAGGTTATCGAATGACAAAGGCGGTCAAGTACGAGTTTGATGCACTTCAGTGACATATATTCATCCGTGGATTAAGAATGTCATCATCATCATCATCAACAGCCTTTAATAGTCCACTGCTGGACATAAGCCTCTCCTTAGAAAGGAGGTTTTGGCCTACTATACCACGCTGGCCAGACGGGTTGGTATAGGGTTTGTGTCAAGTTTTTCCTTCTCTCTGCAGTGCTGTTGTTCTGCGTAGTTTTCTCCCTTAGTCGTCTCTTACGACACCCACTTTCAGGTGGGCATATATATATATATATATATATATATATATATATATATATTTTACCACATTCACACACAACGCCATCTAATCCCAAACTAAGCAGAGCTTATACTATGGCTACTAGACAACTGATATAAATACATATATACTTTTTTTTGTAAATACATACATATTATACATGGAAACACCCAGACCAAATCAAATATTAAATGCTCATACACACAAATGTTTGACTTGAGCGGGAATCGAACCCGAATACTTTTTTTTGTAAATACATACATATTATACATAGAAACACCCAGACCAAATCAAATATTAAATGCTCATACACACAAATGTTTGACTTGAGCGGGAATCGAACCCGAATAAAATGAATGTAAAAAATATTTATCGAGCTCATTTTGAAGAATGCATCAATGCTCATTTTGAATGAACTAACTGCTACAATATCTGTTCATCAATCATCATCATCATCAACAGCCTATACTAGTCCACTGCTGGACATAGGCCTCTCCTTAGAAAGGAGGTTTTGGCCTACTATGCCACGCTGGCCAGACGGGTTGGTATAGGGTTTGTTTCAAGTTTTCATTCTCTTTGCAGTGCTGTTGTCCTGCTTAGTTTGCTCCCTTAGTCGGCTCTTACGACACCCACGGGAAGAATTGGGGTGGTGACAATTTGTATTCTTAATCCGTCACCACACGGACAATATCTGTTAGTTCGAGGTAACATTTTTATCATTATAAAAAAAAAATCTATACAAATAAATAAAATTGGTGTCTGTTTCTAATATTAAAATAACCGCTTTTTACTAAATGCATATGTATATTTACACGGTACATATACCAAAATAACATTTTTTACAATTTTTGTCTGTCTGTCTGTTTGTTCCATGTAATCTCTGGAACGGCTGGACCGATTTCAACGGGACTTTCACTGGCAGATAGTTGATGACATAAGGAGTAACTTAGGCTACTTTTTTTAGACTAGCTTCGCCCTGCGGCGTTGCCCGCGGTTATAACAACAAACGCGGGTAACACCGCGGGTCTCAGCTAGTTTAAAATATATCGCTTTATTTTTGTTTCAAAACTAAAGATGATAAGATTACCAAATATAGTTCAGCTAAACAATCGTGCTCTGTCATTGGTACGTTTGTAAACTAGAACAAGTATCAGTGTTCTTATTGATGTCAGCACAAAGGACGTTTGTGCAACGTTTGCATAGCCTCACGCATCAGTGAGCTGCGTTTTGTTCCATGAAACATGGCCGGATAGCCATCGACATAACCCCGTCAGTAGCCCAACAATTCAGATACTAGGGATTAAAACAATAAAGAAAAAACTACATCTACAATTTTAGAATAGAATAAATCACACCCAATTTGGATAATAATATAAAACGTACATAAAAGAGTTATGGCTTCATTCAAATTCTACATATTACGCCATCTTTTGTTTGCGATGTAAATTCACTGACGCAACTTTACACAAAGCGCGCAAACAATCACAAAAGCACTAAACACAAATTACATTCCAAATTCAAACACACACTGATTAGAACCGAACAGAGCCGAGTCACGTTGCGCCAATTAAAAAACGGTCCCGAATTAATTTGAAAATGGAGCACTCGATTTTGATGTAGTGGAATCTGTCATTACGGCCTTTGTTTAATATAATACAAACGAATTTCAAACTCATATCAAGTAGCTAGAGTTTAGTTTTGTCTGAATTTGATTCTATTAAACGCCTGAGATAATAGGTGAAAGACTGAATATCATTCAATAGCTATTTGTGTTTATTAATTTTGTACCCAAAAATTCTTTAAATTACCACGTCCTCAACTTATGTTATTAATAATATTGTTCTTCCATAAAGCAATTTATTTATAAAACATGTTTTTTTTTTGTGAAATCTTTATAGGGGAAAAATTGCGGGCAAAATTACGTTCGTTGGTCTTAAAGAGCGTCCCGTGTATATAAATCTCTTGGAAAAGTTACGTGCAATAAATCTAGACAAGCTTCGTGTTCACCGCTTTCTATATAAGATTAATGACGCTCACCTATACCTATAATTTTTATCTATTTTATCTACATTTTGATATCGGTAACGTGAAAGTTCACCTTCTGTACTTAAATTTACATAAGACTATAGCACCACCCGGATAAAACGATTTAAGTAGGGATGATATCGGAACGGCCTTATCTGAACGGTTACGGCGCCCTACTCATTTTAGACGCATAAAATGGCATACTACCTGAAAGAAGCTTAAAAATACACAAACATTTGTACACTGCTCCCCTCAGCACCAATACAGGCGTCAAAACAAAATATTCCACGCAAATTGAAGTCCAAAGAGCTTATTTTCAACTATGGAATGTAAAAATATATTACTAATAATCCTCTTGGATTCTTTAAAACTAAAACAAATTTGTTATTTAAAATGCGGATGCCACGTTTATAAAGCCTGTTTAAAACAGTTTGATTTTGGAATTACGTGAAGTTATCGTTATAATGATCATTATTGACTATTTATATTTTTGAAAAAGGAAGACAATACAAAATACATGAAATGAAACTTGAGTCTGAAACCAAGGATATTAAGTCGCATCATTATAAGGTATCGAGTAGAACAAGGCAGGTTCACTCGTGTTCATTAGGCACTACGACATTTCTTGGCAAAGGAATTTTTGTTGGAGTTTCTACCGCGACAGTCATTTTCTTGATTACTGTACGGGAGCGTCCAATTTCTGTCAAGAAATACCTACGTTCAAGAAAGTGTCGAAAATTCTTTTATATAACATTTTACGTGCCGTTCTTGTTATTAAATTTTGTTGTTCGAAAATAATTGGCGAGGTGCTTGTTTTTAGATTTTACTGAGAATTCATGAAGTCAGAATTTTTACAGCTTATATCTTATAGCAAGATAAATTAATCAAAATTGTCTAGGCTTGAATAAATTCGTAGCATTTCGTTTTTAAACTTGTTATTTTGAAGTCTATAGTATAAATTCACTTTGTTTTAAGATTCAATTTCTTAAAGGAGATTCTATATTTAAAAAAAGCTATTTCGTCTATTTTTAACGCCTTAAAACTTACGTTATACTCTCTTAGATATATTTTAGTGTGGGAACACCGATTACAACGGAACACAGGATTTAGATACACAAATTATTATTTTTCTGTCAATTTACACTCAGTTGGGCCTTGCAAATCTGTAACAAAATCTGTAACAAAAATCTAATTGGATATTTTACAAATAGCTTTCTAGACATAAACTAAAAGAAACAACCTATAGTAGTAATTCTGGAATCATAGATAAACATACATAGACATCTCCTTATATATTTTTTAAAACATTTAGATATTGAAATACATAGACTAACGTAGCTTTATTAATGAAAACACACTTTTTGCACTTAACAGAAATCGAGCTACTGTTCACAAGAAGTTACTAATTAAAATTATCATTACAAATAACCACCATTTTGTTTCTTTTTTGCAGATTGCGTCCACCTCCAACTATATAAAGACTTAAAAGAGCGACAGAAAAACGGGCAAACTAAGGCCTCGCTGTCCCTCCAGCAGTATCTCGGTACAGAGTCTGGTTTCACGCTTGACAAGGAGTCCAATACCCTGGCCATATTGTGTGAAGACGTGGTGCCTGTGCTCGCGTTCGACACCAGAGAGGGACTTATGCAGTGGCGTGTGAAGGTACGTGCTGAGAATGATATTATTATTTAAACAAATATTTTTTTTATGGTATGGGAGGCCTGATGGTAAGTTGCCGCCCTTTGAGCACCTTTGGAATTGGGGGTCTGCTGCTGTAAATACCAACGGCCAGCTTGGTATAGTAGGCCAAAACCTCCTTTCTAATAAGAGGTCTATGTCCAGCAGTGGACTATTAAAGGCTATTAGTGATGATGATGATGGACCTCGCTCACTTGGTGAGAAGCAATGTAATGATAAGATAAGATGGAACCGGTTTTCTACGAGGCTGAGGTATCTCCCCGGTCGAGATGGCAAATACTTGCCAAATTTTGGCTATGCCACGGTAAATTACTTTTGAAATGCTATCAGTGTAAATTGAAATCATATATTACCCATTGCCTTCAGGTTCAACACAACCTCGGCAGCAGCAAGGAGTTTGCCGCCGTCATCATATCAGCGCCAACTGCTGCCAACATTAGGGCTGGCCCTGTTAGGTTGCACGCTTGCGGGCCAAGACTAGCGCTGTGTGCATCCCGCCCTCCTGAAGTACTCACGCTTTGGGACGTCAAACTACTCAGGTAAGCCTTTTTCCCTATTTCCCTAATTTTTTGTAAAAAAATAATTTACTTTTATTATACACAGTACAGGTACTGATTTTACAACATATAATAACCTGACACATTTCACACACGGCCGTCTGATCCCAAACTAGGCAGAGCGTGTACTATGGTAACCAGACTGCTGATAAACATACTTATATATTTCCAAATCCATACATATTATTGATATATTACACCCAGACACAGAACGAATCGAACCACCGACCTCCGGCTTAGCAGTCAGGGTCATTAACCACTAGACCGACAGGCCTGTCAAATATAATACCGAATCTTAACCGGGGAGCATCTCTTTCTCTTTTATTTTACAAAAGCAAAATATTTATCACTTTTATAAAGACCTTTAAAATTGTGCCTGATGCATCAACCATAAAACTAAACCTCATAATTTTGTTCGACAAACGCAAAAAGTGTACCTACCTTTCACAAGTAAAGATACGGGAAAAAAGTTGTTTGCAATATCATCCGTAAGTTGAAATCGTTTAACAGGTACGCTTGCAAAGTTACGTAGACCACTAATCTCTTACCGCACGTCCCTGAAAAATGTCCTCCATAATTTAGCCAGGTTGGTTTCCTGTGTCGTAGTTTGACCTACTTTTGGCAGTGTTCAAATTGTCAGAGCCCTGGTACTCGTAAGTTAATCGTGTGAAGAGCAGGTGGGCCGGTGACTCGGTTTTGAAGAAAAAATATTTGAAATTACAGATTATGAGGCAAACAGAAGGATTAGTTATGTTACTGAAAGTAAGGTTTAGCGTTTTATAGTTTAAAAAAAGGAAAGTTCACTTTGTTATACGAGTACGTAGGACACTTAGCGCTGTGATGTTTAGGAGCGGGTAACTAGTCAAAATTCTTAAAGCTGTGGAATAGAAGTTCTTATTTCAATGTAGTCAAAATATCATCTGTGACATATATTTCGTTTGTCATATGTCTGTATTTCAGATTTGAGGGAGTATTTCGCAACAACTTACCTTACAAAATCTTGATTAGGTGCAGGTTTAATATTATATTCCTAAATATGTAATACAGTTTTTTTTAATTACTTAAAACATCTCATACCCGGTCGCCTGATCCCAAACTAATTAGAGTACTATAATAACCAGATTGCTGATAAAAATACAGCCTCTGTTTCAATAGACTACATCACTAATCATGGGATCAACAGGCCATACAACATATAAATGTTTTCCAGAAGTTAATAATATGTAGTTATAGTAATATCTGCATATATTACAATGACGATTACATTTTAAGAAATAATATTTTCGTCATTATTCTAGTCTTACCAGCAAGAGCGATAAAACTTCTTCTACACTTCGTTCCGACCCTGTCGGCAAAAAATCTTGGTACACATTTTCGGTCTCGCTCCTATCCGCTTAGAGCGTATAACTTGGTTCCCACAAAACCTACAGTGTAACTTAAATTCGATCATAACTAGCAGGGCGACAATACCATAAATAAATACCCAATAGGTATTATCAATACGTAAAATAAGAATACGTTAATGGTACAAGACTTATAAAGTACTTCAAAGTTTGTCTAAGCACATTTAAGTAATAAAATCAGAAATCTATCCCTGAACCAAGAACGGATCTTCTACAAAAAGTAACTTAACCTTACGATAAGCTATTATAAGTCATCAAAAGTCGTACTTAAGAGAACAATTCCGACAATTATAACTGTGGCGTTTTGCCGCCATTTTTAGGAATATTCCCGCCCTTTTGAGATGTTTAACGACTTCAAAACTTTTTGGAGAGATTAGGATTTTAAATTCAGGTAGTGAATTTTAAAAGAGTTTTGAATGCCTCGCTGTTTCATCTTTGTTTTTTAAAGAATTTTTTTTTTCACATTCAGGGTAATGCGGTACATTTAGATGCTATCAATGATGTGCTTCCTGTATGGGAGACTAAATGACATAGTAACGAGCAAAAGCTTAAAGTGTGACATAAATTACATATCTAAAGATGGAGAATAAACAGTTATGAGAAAAAAAAAATTTTTTTGGAACTGTGGAAATTAAAATTTACACCAGATATCGTCTTAAATGACAAAGCAGTAATGACAAGTTTTTTCAGTTATATTGGTGACATACAAGTGGCACTTAATGGTATTCTAATCTCTCGTCAAGTATCATCTAACAGCTTTTTAGCTGCATCTGAATGTTTAAGTACTTTTGCCAGAAATATGTAAATTTTTGTCTGCCTGTTTCCATCTGGTTGAGAATGAGTAATTAAACCTAAATCGCGTTTGTAAAATTTGTTTTTTAAAACTACCTACATATTTTTGTATTTACCACTGAGCATAATCAACTGACGACAGAATGGCGTAGTGGTTTGTGTATCGGACTGCTATTCTAAAGGTCACGGGTTCGCTTTCCACTCAAGTTAAACATTTGTGTGCATAAACATTTAATGTTTGATTTGGTCTGGGTGTTTATATGTATAATATGTATGTATTTACAAAAAAAGTGTATATGCACTTATGTCACTTGTCTAGTACCCATAGTACAAGCTTTGCTTAGTTTGGGACTAGAAACCGTTGTGTGAATGTGGTAGAATATTATTATATTATTATAACTATCTCTGGTCAAAGTCCTTCCATAGGAACAGAGAAACATGATATCCTGTTGATAGAAAATGACTACCAAAAACTACGTATGTTAATATTTTTAAGGAGATTTTTTCCTATGTTTATGTAAATAGCCTCGTGTTTTCATTTTCTTAGAGGGCTGGTTCATAATTATCGCCTGACATTAACTGTTTTCCTACTTTGTCAATTTGCGGAAAAAACTGTTTTCACGCAATTTATGTGATGTGTGCATTCCGAATTTCAATTGTTATTCTGGTGGGCCTCTTGGTCTAGTGGTTTGTGACCCTGACTGCTAAGCCGAAGGTCGTGGGTTCGATTACCACCCACAAAATAATTGTTTTATTAATAATTTGTTATGTGTCTGTGTAAATATTTAAGGGTCAGCAGTCTGGTTACCATGGTACAGGTTCTGCGTAATTAAGGATTAGACGGCCGTGAGTGAAATAGTTTATAAAGTATTATTATTTCACTAATATAGGCAGTAACTTTTTGTTTTATTTATTTACACATCATGCACTTTTGGTGTCACATTTTCTACCAGTCAACCTTTTGGTGATGCAAAGAAAACAGGAAGTAGGTGCATTTTGGTTAAAGTTTGTTTGTAGTTATAATATCAAATACGCGTACATAAACCTTTCATACACTAGAACCCATACACATATACCTGGTGGTCACATCTGCAACCAGCTTTGGTCAATCGGTCGTCCCCACTGCTCCTTCACGACAACTCGCGACCCCATACTGCGCAACAGACAGTCTCCAAGCTGCAAGAGCTGGGGTTGGAAGCTCTCCCTCATCCGCCATACTCACCAGACCTTGCACCTACCGACTATTACTTTTTCCAAAATTTAGACAACTTTTTAGTGGATAAAAAATTCAATTCCCGAGTGGCAGTACAAAATGCCTTTGAAGAGTTTGTTGCCTCCCGTCCAGCTGATTTTTACAAGAAGGGCATCAATAAACTGCCAATGCGTTGGCAAAGATGCGTCGATTGCATGGGTGATTACTTCGAATAACAGAAATGGTGGGCACTGAAAATCAGTACTGGGACGGACCATGTCCATCACAGTAAATGCTGAGGGTCCACCTATTCTGTGGGACACAGCGTACAACTCTCATCCGCACAAGCTATCTATGTGGCAAAACATAGTACCAAAAATAATAGTGATCACCGCGTCAGCGCCACGTCATCTATGATCACAGTCTCATAGACTACTAAACCACAGATAGCGTAGTATAGTGTTGCACTTTAAAAAAATGAAATATTATTGTAGTTGTATAAGGTTAGTATTAAGTTAGTTATATTAAGTTGTATGCTGTTCTCTTGCAGAATAAAGTTTATTTTATTATTTATTATTATTATTATTAAATAAAAAAGTTTGAAAAAATAAGTACTTTCACTTATTGCATACAAAACGGCAATTTCATAGGTAAAGACCTAATAATCAATCAAGACAATCATGTGTCATTTGACTTTTCCTAAAAAGTACCTATAGAACTATCAAAGCTATTTTATATTTATGAACAACAGCCTTTTAAAGAGCAATAAATTTATAATGAAAAATAAATTGCATTGACTTCTAGAGAAAAACTAAACTATAAAATATCATAAGTCTTCGCAACGAAACGTCGTGTAATTGAAATGGTTTTTGAAATGAAACATTTCATGGGAACCTTGCAATTGGCTTTCATATTCAGTAATATTAAAAAAATGATTGCTTTTTTACAAAGTTACCAAATTAAAATTTAAGGCGATCGACCAGTCCAATAGAATGGACTTTTTACTAAAAATAATAACTTCACACATCTCACACACGGCCGTTTGATCCCAAACTAGGCAGAACCTGTACTATGGTGACCAGACTGCTAATAAACATACTTAAAAGTTTCCAAATATATTCACATTATAGATGAATTACATCCAGGCACAGAAACAATGTATAATTATTTGCTCTGTGTGGGAATCGAACCCACGACTTCTGGCTTAGCAGTCAGAGTCATTAACCACCAGACCAACAGGCTAGTCTATAATATCTTCATAAATATCAACAGTCATCATTCAACAAGCACCACCACCACCCACCCTCAAATGCTCGTGGCACTTCCTTAAAAAAATAAACTTCTTCTCAAACTACCCTTCCGTACTCCTTGTCCGTGTGGTGACGGATTAAGAATACAGAATATCACCACCCCTAATCATCCGGTGGGTGTCGTAAGAGCCGACTAAGGGAGAAAACTACGCAGAACAACAGCTCTGCAGAGAGAAGGAAAACTTGACTCAAACCCTATACCAACCCGTCTGGCCAGCGTGGTATAGTAGGCCAAAACCTCCTTTCTAAGGAGAGGCTTATGTCCAGCAGTGGACTACTAAAGTC